ATTTAATTTTTCTTCTTAACCTATTCAATACTTTTTCTTATGTAAAGTTTAAACTTTATATTATACGTTATGTTATACTTATAATATGTATTGATGAAAGGAATAATTTGATTAGTAAAATTTTTTTAATATTCAGATTGTCATGTAATAAATAATAAATATATAACAGAAATTTATTAGTTTTTATTACTAGCATTGTACGTAACATTCTAACAAAAATACCAAAATGTAAAATTGGCCGATTATCGAAACCGATTAATCGGTGGAAATGGCCGATACCGATTAATCGGCTAAGTGGCCGATACGGCCGATTACCGATTACTTACCGATTAATCGGTACATCCTTAATCTCAAGCCCAAAATTTCTCTTGAAAAATTAATTTTGTCATCAGTGCTACCCAAATCACTACTACTACTACTATTTACACCATTGACTTCTATGCATACTTTTTTCCCGTGACTTTTAATACAATTTGTTGCCAATAAACATCCGAGAACAGTCAGTATGTCGTCATCGGATGCCATGGCCGACTGACTGACTGAGACAATGGCCTAGCGAACGTAACTGGCGCCCGGGGCACGATACTATATTGGCACCCCCTTCTCCTCCAGAAACAAACCTTGTTTGTGGGCGATAGGAAATTCTGAAGTTCCTCAAGGTCAGGCAGTTTCAAAGGATTAACTTAACGTGTATAGCCGCCTTAATGCGCATATACAAACATTATCTGATTCTCAGTCATGTTGTTAGATGTCGAAGCGGTAGATAATGTCATTCTTAATTATTAACTCTCGAATATGGCGCTAATAACATACTAATTGGCGATACTAATAAAACAATGGGCGTTTACAACCTATTACGGGCCCCGGGCAAGTGCCTCGCCTGCCTCGATCATACGTGTGCCGAAGCGAAAATAAAAGAAGCAATAACTGTCTGGGTAGTGCATCCAATTACGCATTTAACAAACTACGAGTGGAATAAAATCGTTTTATTCCAGGCGACCGTAATCTATATTTTACAGATTAAAGCTCGGTACTCACACGCGGCAACGGTTGGCGTTCCGTCGTCTTTCCGCCACGCGTGTACTCGCACGCGGAAACGCGCCATCTGCCAGCCGTAAATATAAACCAGCTACTACAGTAGGTAGGCCACGTGCCAGTAGTCGAAAATGGCGTCTACCGGGATTGTTTCGTTGTATCGATTAAACTTTATAAGTTTGCCTTCGATCTGATGGAAAATAGAAATATCAAAAACGAATAATTTGAATAGGAAAAATATTCTAAAACGTCGAAAGTTAGCAAAATCGAATTACGCTTACTCCATTCCCAATACTTTACGCGGTAAGTAAGTCTATTTGACATTAATATTTAAATCGGATAGTAATATAGCGTATAAATGAAAGATATCAGCGTAGTAGTGTACAAATAAAGCTTTTTAGCTGGCCCACCGCCATAGTTCGAACGCTATCGTCCCGCGTATCTTTACCACGACGTCGCTAAACGACCTTCCTATTGGTCTAATTTTTGCCGTTCCGCTTTTCGCCACGGCGAAAGTGACGTCGTTTTACCGTTCTGTCGACGGGTTTCTGTCGTCCGTTGCCGCGTGTGAGTACCGGGCTTAAGTGTCGCAATATTATCAAATTGATAAAATTGACAGAATTCGTAGCTTATATGTAAAACGAGTTTTACCGGCCGGCCACAGATTCGTTAAAGGTGAGAAGGATAATAGTTACCCGGAAAATACAATAAGAAATATGGTAACGTTTCTATTGGAAATATCCGAAGGATTAGCGGTTACTCTATCCCCGCGGTAGACCGACGGTGGGAAAATCGTCACCCGAATTCCAAATGTTAATCTATGGAAACAAATTAAGTAACGAATGTCGGCAAATATCGAATTACGGTGTATTGAAAAATAACGTTAAAAATTTCGTCTCGATTAGACTTTGTTATTTGAATTTTCGGTTTAATGTTTGTTGATTGTTTTTCTTTGGTTTACTTGTCGACACTGGAAAAAGGCCTAATGGCTAGTGTCTTTTCTAAACACGAAAAAGAAAAGAAAAGGTGTTTCTTTCTTCCGGTAATGCCAAACTTAAAATATTTACCTAAATTACACAGTTTAAGGTAAAACCTGCCCAAAACGGAATTGGAATAGAAAGGAAATCGGGCTAAAGGGCGATTTTCTGTTAAAAAGAACCCGTTCGAAACGGACCCCCCGCTAAACCGAAAAGAAATCGATATCGTGTCATTCCGGTTTACGCAGGTTTTACTATACTGTATATTTTATTCGGCCGGTGAAAAATGATCTATCGAAGGAATGTCGGCGGCATTTACCATTTACATCGAATATGTACTGTACTGTACGGTAGATATTTTTTACGCAGCCGCAACATCAACATTATTATTTAAATCGTACAGTAAATTATATCACTCGGTGCGCACCAGCGTGTCAAACGATTAAGATCGAACGATGATTGAAATGAATAAGTAATTACGCAGTCCTTATTTTTCGTTACGTCTTTTATCGCAGTTTATTAACGCTAAGATTTAAAAGTTTGTCCAAAGCAAAACTGACATCTGTGCAGGAGGAAAAAAGACCATAGAATAAGGCACTTATTTTAAATTCCTTCGGTACCATTCCGCCGACCAAGTATTCCGTATAAGTTCTTTGTCGACCAGGCTCTTTCCAAATGAATCCCGTAGTCCGTAACCAAAAGAGCGACGTCCGGAAAACCAAACGTAACCCGTGTAAATATTTGAAATTCTTTTTCTCATTTTCTCCGGGTGATTTGTGTTTGGTAAAATATTTTTAATAGAAACGATAAAAGTCGAAAAAACTGTTCGACGGGTCGGGAATTACTTTTACTTCAAAATATATAAAATACGAGAAAACAAAACTATCGGCCTCTTCCTATCCGGGATGTGACTAAAACGTTCCGACCGCACTTACGTCTACGAAGGATTATTTTAATTCTTACGCTTAGTCGTACAATTGTAAATTACTTAGCCAGCGCATTTGTCTAAGTTTCTGGAAAGAACGGAGGATCGAGATGATTAGGCGAAAAAGAAGAGAAGAAAAGGACCTTAAAACGGCCAGAGTAGTTTTTTCCGGTCGGCACCAAACCGAGTATTACGTAGCGGAGACGAAACATTGCCGAAAAGAGCATTCGACCTCCGTATTACGTGGCCTGTTATGACGTCGTCACGGTATTTACGTGGCAGTCGAGCAGATCGTAACGTCGATACGGGTAATATAAAATTTTGTTTAAAGAAAAGAATACCGTTAAACGCAAAATTAGAAAACACGTTTAATAAATGCCAATATAACAAAAATAATATTAATTTAAATAATAGCATCTGTGTCCGCGCGTGTCGAGATACGTCTGTAAACTATAAATACCCTACGCGCCCATCGAATTGTATTATCGCCGAGGGGGCCGGAGGATGGTCGCGTTGGCCAAATACGTTTGACGGGTAACGCATAATTGTACGACGTAGCGTAAGATTTAAAATAATCTTCTGTCGATTTAAGTGTCGTTCGGGTGTTTTCGAAAACACCCAAACGACATTTAAAAATACACAAAGACGCTTTTATTAGTAAGGTTTTCGTCGGTGTTCGGTAGCGGTGCGATTTACGTAGGCGCATCTGGACCAAATCGAAAGGCCCGGCGCTAGTGTTGCCTCCGGGCCGGTTTTTAAATTTATGATTCGGATTAAATATTCATTCGTCCGGTTTACGTAGAAATTGTGAAATTATGACGAAACAAAATAATTATAAAAATATTTACGAGTATTTTATTTTAAACGAACTTTAACTTCATACTCCCACCCAAACTTATCCCCGGGCTAAGAATGACAGAAAATGAACTTTTAAATTTCCAACTTGCAAATATCTCTGGCAAATATTTGGTTTTTTTTAAAACTCTTTCCGCCCTATGGACACTAAGAGGGCCTCTTTTTGCAAGTTCATTATGGGTTCGGCCAGGCCCACAATGGGGCTACCGGGTGGACGAGGCCCGACATATCGGAACGGACCACCCCCGAAAAATTCCTGGAAATTTTTCGACCCGTTCGGATTCGAACCCGGGTCCCCCAGAGCGGTAGGCTGCCACCTTGACCGCTCGGTCATCCGGCTGCTAAATATTTGGTTTGTTCAAACACAACTCCCTAACTTGTTTAAAACTAGCACGTGCATAGTTTAGTTCTTTGCTATAAAATGATATTGCGCATGCCTGTGTATAACATCCTAATTTCAAAATGTCCGGGTTAGCAATTTTGAAAAGGTGGCAACACTGCCCGGCGCCGAGATGGTCCGACCCTATCGATTTAACGGTGTTACGCTTTTGTCTATCAAATGCGCCTTCTCTAAATACAACCGTACTGTACAGTACATTAAGTATCTGTTGAAACAAAACGAGTGCAATATACAGGCGATATACGAAGAAATAGCCTTCGCCCTTTTTACGGTAACGTGTTTCGACTTTCGAAACCGGGGTTGGACCACTGGCCGGCTTTGCCATCGATCTTTCTGTTCGTTTGTTTCCATAAGTTACGGCAACGCAACACTCGGACAGTCTGCCTAGAAGAATGCCTTCCGGGAGGTCTTTTTAAGGGTAACTGGCCCCTTTTCGGGCGTTATAGTCGTAGAGAAAACCCGGAAAACTCCACGCGGCCACTCCGTCCGGTTTTGGCGCGAACCCACGACCGAACGTCCGGTGTTCGGGGAACGGAACCTCTCGGCCACCGATGGGCCTGCCGTCGACCTGTCCATTCTATATTTGTTTATGGACATTCGGGTAGACCCCCCTGAAATGCATCTTCTTTAGACGTGGATGAAATTCGAGTTGCAGGATTTGGGACACACAACAGGAGTTAAAGGAAAAGCTCTCAATAAAAGGTCAACGATTTACGTTTCGTGAAACGAAAAAAGGATAAAAAGGAGTGTGGGAAATTACACGGAATACAATATCCTGCCTTGTTTCATTGTGTTATTTTTCTTTCAGGTAACGGATATTCTGAAAACTCTGAATTTATTGCAGAGTGAAAATACTAAAACGAACAAGTTATCGGGAGGAGAAAGAAGGAGAGTCGGCATCATTCAAGAACTAGTAAATAATCCACCAATCATTATATTAGACGAACCTACCAGGTATTATTTCTAAATTTTCTTTTCTTTTCAACATTCTCCGTGGGGAAAGATTAAGAAGCGAAATTTGGCAAGGTCGCTCGTATATCGGGGGAGTCAATGCTAGTAAATTTTGCTGGTGAGTTGCAGGGGGTGTGTGTATGTCCAGTAGGCCATATTTTATGACGATTTTACCGGTTATTAGCATTTATACTTTTTATAAAAGTTAACCCTACCCTCAAAATTAACCTTATTACCATTTTATAGTAATTAAAAATATGTTTTTTGTAACAGAATCTGATAGCGGACGGCGCAAGACAGAATTTTATTTTTGCTCGATAATATAAAACACTTTTTAATACTGGTTTTTACCTCTGTTTCCAAACAAGCTACTGGGAAAAGCCGGCCACCGACGGTTAACTTCCCGCCTGTCCTACGTTAATTAAAATCGACGGCCGGACCAATCGGGACAACGTCAACCGGGCTATGGCTAAGTGGGACGAACAGCAGACAAAATACAATTTTTTTCTTTTCTTTATAAAAAAAATTACCATTCTTTTCCGTTGATGTACCGCTCGCTAAATATAAATAATGTTTTTAAAAAAACCAGTTAAAAGAACGATTTTATTATAACAAAGATATTTATACAGATTACATACCGTATTTATTTAATTGTTTTTACAAGTAAATAGAAAAGGCTGCGAGAACAGTCGATATCTACTTCCAGAATGAACAAATATACGTAAAAACTAAAAGTACGTTACGTTAAACATTAAATATAATGTGAATGAAAAGTAGAAAGCGTAAAAGTTGCGGGAAGGAATTTGTTTTTCTTTCGTGCGCTTCGCTAACCACGCTACACTACACATTTCCCTTTCCTAGGTTAGAAATATCTCGTAACTCTTACGTCTCAACCCTTTTTACAAGTAAATAAAAAATATCCGCGACCAGAAACTGGACGACGGCACTACCGAGTAGGAAGTTAGTGGCCTGGCCCGACCGTGCCAATCATCGACGACGTCGCAATTTCAATTAATTAATAAAAACCGCTTTAATCCACATTGGCGTAATATAAACGGTATCCGAGAATTTCAGTTTAAATATGCTCCAGTTAAATTAAAGGAGAAAAATTTATTAATACAGTAATACCCGCGTTACGTCAAATGTAAACCCGAAAAATTGGAAAAAACATCTGAGAGGAGTAACGTAATTTTACGGATGAAAATATTGAAAATGGGTGATCGGTTAACCAACGTAATCCATTCCAAGACTGTTCGTTAACCGATTATCGATTTACCATAGGTTTTAACGGCAATTTGATTAATTCGTCCGGAAACCTCAAACATTAAAAAATATATACTTTCTTACTACCTTTATTTATACGTAATAGTAAAAATACATATAGTCTATACACAACCTTGCATTTTTATCAGTCACGTTTTTTCCGTTTGTGGGGTTAAAGAATCGTCCAATATCGATGGCTTTTCTCTCTTCTGCAGGATGTGATTAATAACGTTGTAATTGTAGAGATTTCCAAGCCTATTAACCTCATTCTGGTTTGGATGCCATTTGGATGACCGTTGTTTCGACATCCCCCCACTTCTTCGAAAGATCTTTAATAGCGGACATCGGCAATGATCTTCTTTCGTCGTCTTCTGTTTCAAAATAAAACACTTCTCGCCGACTTTCTCGGTGCTCTTCGTTTAAGAGTTCTCGGAATTCTTCCGTTATCGCATCAGTTTCGGGTTCCATTATAAACTCTTCGGTGCTCTTTAATTCTCAGATGTGATTTTCATCATTCCTATAGCCGCTCGAGTCTTCTGGATATATCTTTCGTAGCTAAGACTGTGCCCGTTCGAGTCGTACTCCTTAGCAGCGCCAGACATCTTGCGCCTTGGCTGTTTGTATGGTTAGCACACTCCACTCGTTTTAGGGTCTATACTATTATCAGTTTCTTTTTTGAGTAAAAAGTTTAAATAAAAACTTACAGAAATCAAGTAGCGCACAAAAAATTACTTAAATGCGAGGCCCGGATGAAATTCGAAATTTCCTATTAAAGCGATGGAACAGTTAAACTCTCGCCTTTCGTAAATAAAAGCGACGCGTACCCGTCCGCTAAGACTATAAAAAATTCTTTGTCAAAAAAGGTAAACAAAATGCTGGAATTACGAGGGAGAATTTCAAAATTCGGACGAATGCTATCGACCGAAAGGTTTGCAATTGTCACCAACCGTTCTACCAAGTGTTCGTTAACCGATCAGCCACTGTTCTCCGAAATTTCAGAGAATTACATACGTTTAAAAAGTTTGTTAGATTAGCGTCTTCCATCTCTACATCAAATTAAATATTCGGAGGTATATTATTTGCGCGGTCTGAAATCATTTGTAAGCGAGTTAAAAGAGCGCCGTGACTTATAAGACAATACGCCTTTAAGTTTGTAGGTAATGTCCACCGTGTTCACTGGCGTAAATCGGCTACTTTTGGGCCGATACGAGTGCCCAAATACCGTCTGTTTGAGTGAAAAGTTTTCCTTTCTGTCTGTAATAACAATCATTAAAAATAAACAACGGAAGATCGATGAGCCGCTCTTCGTAATTTATTTCTATTCATAAATTCAATAATGAATTTTTCGAATCGAAGGGTGTATTTGTTTTTTTAGGCTCTAGCAGTCTAACTCGACATTCTATGATTTTCATCTATTTGTTGTATTTTAAATTATCAATTAAATCTTCAGTGTTTTTATACTATGTTTGCGGGTATTAAACTTATTTAACTAATTTTTCTAAAGAATTTTATATATTGCAAAGAGGATCATTTTTAATATCTACTAATGGTTTATACGCGTCCTCATTTTCGCGTGTTCAGTTCGGGTTCCATCGTAAGTTGACATTCGCTCTTACCGACCGTGTTTACTTTAAGTAACTTTTTAGATTCTAGGCAATACCTAATATTACTTGCAGGGTCGTCGGGAAGTCGACCATACTTATCGGTTGAAGTAATATCCGTTTTCATTCCATTCGGTCTATCTATTTTTAATATAACTACTTGTTTTGATTTATCGGCGGCAACTGTACTTAAACTATTATCTATAAGGTATGCTTTAATTCTTTTAATATAATTCTGAAATTTAGCATATTTCCTTTTGTACTTTTTACTTTTATGAATTTTTTTTTATATTTTCTAAATTTGCTTTTGTTTTACCTTTAGTATGTAAGTTGTATGTATTGTCGATAGCGCGTATTCCGAAGGCGCTGTCGATTCATTTTTGTTCCACATACCTGGATACTTACCGCAGTTTTTAACCCGAGTTTTAAAAAGTTAAGAACAAAATCTGATATAACACTACCAGATTTATTAATGAGTAGATTTTCTCCCCACCAGAAGCTTTGAAACTCTGAGTACTTTACAGAGGCAAAAATATTAATTACTTAATAATATTTTTGCAAATGTATCCGTTCTATTTTAATTCGTACTTTTAGTTTTTAGATGACATTTTTGATACACGAAATACATATTCGCCACTTCCTCCCAGATAAGTTCGTTTCCATTTTAATTTTCTATTATTTTAAAATATTTCGTACTGGACGTACGACATTACGTACGCCTTTTATGCGCTAATATTAAAGTAAAAATATAATTGGCTTGCGATTTTACTCGGGACCGACGTCGAGAGCCGAAATGCGCGCAAACGCTGTGGTCAACGCGTATCCCGTATGATAAGTGCTACGTTTGTGAGATTTAGCAAGTACGACGGGGGAATAGAAGAGGAAGCTTTGAACCAATAAAATGACTTTTCTTAGTGCCGAATGGGTGGGAAACATTTACGCTCGATATTTGGCATTTCTTAGAAATTTTGAACGTTTCTTTGTTTGGAAAGACGGTGGATGGAAAAGCGATAATTATTTTCATCGACAGATTATAATTATGAGGTAAAATTAGAAAGAAAAGGTCGAAGTAAAGGCGGAATGTTGCTACCGACGGACGAGAGAATAAGTACCAGATAAGAGTAAGTCGTCGGCCAGTTGCTTCTGTTGCCGCCCATCTATCCAGTAGGCTATTTACCGATATTTTCATCCGATGCAAACGTTTATTTTAACGGTGGGAGTTGGCATTTTACACGTTCCCGTTTCGGGAAACGGCCGATTGAGCATAAACGTGTTTTGTTCAAGTACTAAACAGACGTTTCAGATTCTAATTTGGAAAAGTTGGATTATTGGCGGGAGTGGAAGTGACTTTTACCCGCCTTCCTTTGGTAATTTGGAAACTATTTTTCTACTTTTTGTTTTTGTCGGTAGGTGATTCGAAGAGTGGGGAAAAGTTATCTGTTTTCCTGGATGACCGTTACAGACCGTCAGCCGCACGTAGATGTAGACGCATTTAATTTTCCTCTTTATCTAGCCATTTCCCCTTCCTTCTTCCGGGAAGCGAGAAGAATCCTTACCCGAGAAGGTAGAAGGAAAGCGAGAGCGTAGTCCATGGGTTTTCTGATAAACAGTACTGGAGGTTTTGCATTAAATCTTCGCAAATAATCAGATTATCAGAGATGATGGATGGTCTGTAGAGAATTCAGAGATGGGTGTTTTTTAATAGTGAGCAGTAGAAGCAGGCGATAAAATGGAGGCCTGGGCATTAATGGTGGTAAAGTAAATTCTTACTTTACCACCATAGATAATGTCAAAGTGTTTGTTGGCAACGGTATAACCCGTATTAATAGGAAACTAATACCAAGGTGTGAAATGACTTTGTACTTCATACATCAATTTTATTCCAAATCGTGTAGGGTTTTCGAATGAACAGTATATGATGTTGATTTGTTAAATAATCAGTTTACTATGTTGGAAATTTATTTAGAGGAGCCTAAAACGGAATTATGATGGACAGAGGGCTTGCTGGATGAGGTAAGGTATTTATTGTAAAATTATCTATTTTTGAGGTAGATCCAGAGAATGAATTGGCTGAGGCCTATTCACACCTTGTTTCAAATCACTTGAGCTTTGTATCTGTTGGGAATCGCGGCAGGAGACGCCACATTCCTAACAGATACAAACACTTGGGCCTTTGAGAGGAGTTATTGAGTTGGAGATGAAAATATTACTACAGAATTTCTCTCAACTAACAACTTCATTTACAACAGAGTTTTGGTGGTGTATAGGGTCGAATCGACGATCTCGTTGGGAACATTGAACATAATAATTCTAGTACGTCTTTGGTGTGAGTCAGCAATTTTAGTTCGTTTAGATATACCCTCACTACGTGTTATTTCTAGCTTAAACTAATTCGTATCCGCTTCTGTTCTGAGTCTGAAACAAATATTACCACTATGGAGAGATTTGTTTGATGTTAATTCTTCGAGTCAGACTTCTAACTACAGACGAATATGGAAATGAAGGATGCACTAAATTTCTCAGACACAAGTTTAGGTTGATCGGTTTCTGTTTTTGTAGAAAGTATTATATGCACTTGTGTTTATTACTCTCTCTCACATAGTGTTAGCGTAATAAACTTGGTGTTCCTGCCATTACTGTGTAGATCTTTGGCTAACTCGGCATAGGTGGCTGGTCTATTCTGCGAGTGACTGACTCGTTCTCGAGATCCAGCACCACCACAAGAAGCTGGTTGGTGGAAGCATACATTTATAGCTGCATCACGAGCTTGAAATCGTTTATCCTGAATGATTTGACCGTTAATCGAAGGAAAACAAGAGCGTACGACATCTAGTTTGTTAATGATATCGAGAATATCCTCAACAAAGCTGTTATTAACGTTGGTGTCGGGAGTAGAACCTAACGTAGAGGGCTCCCGAGACACATTAGGAATCAGCTGCAAAAATCACCTCCAATTCGGCATGTGGAATAAGAGTGACAGACTTTGAGCAAGTAAAGACGCTCTGTTTTCTCGTGAGAGTTCGTCACTTGTCGCTTGTTTTTCTTATCGGGTGTCGAACGAGACTCTTCCTATTCACACGACTGAAATTTTTCAAGCACTTTTTCCTGGGAGACCTCCTGCAAACCCTTGTTAGTGGACAGTACTTTCGTCTTTCTTTTTCATTGTATCCTCGAATCGTTACCAAAATCATTACGAGGTTATTCGAGGACCGACTCTTCCAGGGAAGTTTTTTCTCATTAGTCTTTCTAATTACAAATTATTGTTTCAACACGACGAAAACATCTTAGCTGTCGGGCTTAGATAAGCAATTGACCGACGTGTGTACGATTTCGTTGTTTGTAGTTTACTTCTGACGTGACGTAACTTTCGTTTTATTTAAAGCAACCTATATCCCGTTTGATCCTCACGTACTTTGAACGTCGACACAAGTCATTTGAATTGTCGCCTAAGGAATTGAAACCCACCTCAATTCCTCGGTGCTGCGCTGGAACTAACCGGACTATTCGCTATTCAAATCTTTACGCGACATTTCTCACAAATCTGTTCACAATTAAATAAAAAGGAATAATTTAGATAAGAAATTCGAGCTGGCTTTGATTCAAATCAAAACTATTAAGTATTGTAAGATGAGCGTCTTTGATTATATCTTTTAATAAATCAATTATGTTTTATTAAAGCTTAAAGATGTTTCGTAGGATTTGCGTTGACACAAGTTTTTCCTTATCTAGTGGACTAGACAGCACTTTAGCCTACCAATGCATCGACCTTCTGCTAAAACTGGCAAGCGAGGGTAAAACCGTCATCTGCTCCATTCACCAACCGAATTCTACCATCTTCGATCTATTTCACAACGTAAGACTTCTTTTTTACCATTTGATTAAATTAATTCATATTTTTCGGCTATAAATAATTTTTCATCCTTTATCGCGACACGATCACAATGCCGGGCTGCAAGTTTTCGTCAGTGTTCTGGATGTTCTTAGTACTGTCTCGCCCCTGTACATCACACTATTCCCGTTAGCAGTAGAGTCGTGCCGGTCATCTATCTAACTTCTTTTCACGGCAAATATTTCGATTTCCGGTCCAAACCGCAAGTTTTTATACAGTTAATATAGTCAAATTGCAGCTCAATTATGTGAGAATCAAAATTTTATAGTTAATTTAGCGTAAGAAAATATATTATTTCTTACATATTGTTCACGAAAAGGGAAGTTTTTCGAGAAAAGGAAAATCGTCTTCCTTTCTCGTAGGATTTTATCGTTAATTCTGACCACTCTCTACGCGTCGTCGCTCATCCCGTTGTAACCGCGGATCAGTTTATGCCATTGGTCAGAGAACCCGATAAAAGGGTAGCTTTCCCACCATTCGAGTCGGTTGACGAGAAGTCGAACATGCCATAGAAGGCAATCGGCTGCCCTAAGCTCTTTTCCACGTATCTTGTCCTCTATCTCCCGAATCCTCCGAAGACAGTATACTGACCGACTTACATCGTAAGATAGTATCATTTATATTATACTCGTAAACTCTCTCTCTCGCGCCAGGATAGGATAGAAATTGTTACATTCTCATTCGAGATCAGAGGTATACGCTTGGCATAATAATATATCTAAGAATAGAGACGTATTTAGAATTCAGTTCGATTATACTAACTTATATTCGATTTGAAACAATGTATATACAGTAGTATATTTCTTTTATCTATTAAACGTTAATTGTTACGTTTACTTATCGATTCTATTTACTGGTATTTGCTATGTTTGGACCATTCACCGCTTCGAGTCGGACTTACCCACGACTACTCCCGCTCGACAGAACTAGCCCTCCGTAATATTTATTATTAGATCGTAACATTTCGCGTGTTAGGGCGCGATATCCTTCCGTAACTGGTGTCAGTCCCGACAGTCGAACGTATCGACAGATTCGGGCGACATTCTTATTTTATGCCACCCTTAGACGAGAGTGAGCGGCTCTTAACGTCCCGACGACTAGAAGGTAGTGTACGATACCTTCACCGTGATCTCACAATTATCAATATTAAATTGTGAGCGGCTTTCGAGACGTCGCCTTCATCGAAAGATAGAGGCTCTCACCGAATTACTGATCCGGCACACGGAAAGTTAGGAGAGAGGGATTACGGTCTTTCGCCTCGTCCTGTAGGAAAATGGGTTTGTTCCGAAATCGCTGTCTATTTTTCTCCTACAAATCTATTTTACTTTAGGCACGCCTGTCCGCGTGTTTTCGCTTTTTTGCATCGGGTTATTAAGTATAAAAAGAAATAAAATCTGAACCTGTTTTTTTGTAACCGTCTTCCACGTTGGCGCTGTAAATATCTGCAGGAAAACGACTGCAATATGAAAAAATACAGGAAATTTTAATTACAGCTTCTAATTTCAATTGCAGATTCATGTGCTATCGGAAGGAAAATGTATCTACTCGGGATCTAGAAAAATATTTACATCTTATTTGAGTTCTTGTGGCTTGGAATGCCCTCAATATCACAATCCTGCCGATTACGGTAAGTAGTCGTCGTAGTAATTTAATTTCCGAAAAAAAGAGCCCTAAAATCGTAAAAATTACAATAAATGTGTACGTATTTTTGTACAGCGCTGGACATAGCTAATAATGTGCTTCCGGGAAGAAACGTTTTGCTATCGAAACAAAACGATTATTGGAATACAGAATTTCAAACGTTAGGCGATTGCCAAAAGGTAAGGCTATTATTAAAAAATATATAGGAAATTTGTAATTTATTGAAAAATAGCTAACTGATTTGAATATTTTTATACTCGCAAATTTCTTTGAATGTCGAGTACAAAATATGTTATTATTATTATTGTTATACAGTAGTAGTGGATTATACTCGATTGATACCGGTGGCTGTGTACTACACCGGACCAGAGTCAAGGCAGAGCAACCGAAACAAGACAATAATTAAATAAGTGTGTCAGCGTGTGTATCTGTATTTGGGAATTTCCTATGTATTTAATATTGTTGTGTAACGTATGTGTTTATATTCTATTCAACTGAAATCTTCCTAGCCTTTTGTGTAGTGTGTGTGGTATGACACCTGTAGAGGAGAGAACGACAGGTACAATAAGCATCTTATCCATCCTCATTAGATGCCTTGTTTTCTGTGTACTTGCTGATTTTTTCAGTGCGTGTTTTGTACAGTACATCGCGAGTGTTTAGAATGGATATGTCTATAATGTATGTGATTTTATTGTCTAAATGGTGCTTAATGGTGCCTTTCGAGCCCACGATTGCTTAATGATGTCTATGCTTTTTATATGTTGTGTCGTGTCCATACGCCGAGTGTAAATTTAATGGTGTGTTATTTGAGTCCGATAGTCACTGCTTTATGTAGTTCTGATGTTTGAAGGTTGACTATTGTGATAATGCGCGAAACGTTCCCTATTGCTTCCGCACCGCTTGACCGAAGGGTCGTCTCCACTTCGTGGATGACTGACACAGAAATCGCGATGGATGTTATGTTTCGTTTCATAAATTTATGTATGACCTTAGGAACTACATTTTCATCATTATTTTTTTCTGTACTTGACTTCTGTTGTTATTCTTTGATATATATTGAATATATTGCTGTACTTTTCACTTATAAGAATTTTTATAAATATGTATTTATCTTCTAATACTTGATTGCTTCTTGTTCTTTTTGTGTTAAATGGGGAAAACGCACAAAATTGCTCTTGTTTACTTAAGTTTGAAATTACTTAGAAGATACTTATTCACACTGTTAAGTTACTCGACCTTAATAGTCTAAACGATAAACTCAGACGTAATTAACTAAATTTAAAATGTTAAAACATTAATCCATTATTCTTTTACAGATTTCTTGCATGCAATTGAAACGTACGACGTATCCCACCAGCTTTTTCAATCAGTTCCTGGTTTTGTTAAGAAGGATTTTTATTTCTACTTGTAATCCGGTAATATAACTTTTTCATTTTCATTTTTTTTAAAATACAACTTAAATAAATACTACGAAAAGTATATTTTGTCTTAATCTTAAATTGATATAAGTGTTTATTTAATTAACATACGTAAGAGAACGAATGTATTGATAGACGATTACAAAACTGATAAAAAGTACAGTATAAATCGGCCAGTGCGAACGGAGGCCGAATACCGGTAATTGGAATATTTCAGTGAAACGGCAAAAAATAAGGAGCCTCGGGAACTGATGGGGCCTACCAGACCTATAAGAGAATTATACGCTACTAATTAGCCGAGTCGAATGTAAAGTTCTACATTTTCTGTTGTTTACAAATTTATTCTAAGTATCACTTTACGGAAGTTTTAATTGAAAATGAGAAGCGAAAGTCCTAGACCAGTGATGGGCAAACTACGGCCCGCGGGCCAGATGCGGCCCCCTGAAATGTTCTATCCGGCCCGCGCGACATTATTTCTAATCTGACGAGTAAAAAAGAATACAGGCTGTGGTGGTTGATGCACCACTTAACTTGAGTGTTCGTTGATTACATAAAATAACCGAAGCTTTATATCTCACCATGAATGTTTATTTACAATCATGTACAAAATTTTGTTTTACACTTATTGAGTAAAAGCTCGATCGATTACAAGCATGCTTCGGTACAGAACATCCACTCGTGGTGTGTAGCGTTGCCGAAAGAGAGAAAAAGAAATATGGTGGACGGCCTGCACATGTTTTTATAGCGCCACCTGGATTTTCAGATGCAGCGCTAGGTTACAATTATATTGGTCTGCCTGAAGTTTTCTTCTTTTCCTTTGGCCCGCTCTTTAAAAAGTTTGCCCATCACTGTCCTAGACTAACGGCGAATCCATTTGAAGCCATGCCATTAATTTGTGTCTTGCGGAGCCTACAGGTGGCCGAGTAGATATAACCATTGAACGTGGTGAGTTTTCTGGGGTTTATTTACGTTTGGTTCAGGTTCCTCGGCAGATCGCCCACGTGTCGCGTTGCGGTAAACAAACCAACTCAGAATATCTTGTGGGTCCGCGGAACCATTCGGCAACGACCGAGCCAATTTTTCGATTGAGTGCAGAGATTAAAAATAAATCTCCTCAGCTCTCGGATAAGGCTATTTATATTTGTTATTTATGCAGCCCAAGTTCCTATTTTGTTGAATCCTGTTTAAGTAAGTTACTGAACTGATATTAAAAGCTGGAAACAGATTGGATTTTCAGTTGGGGGAAGCTGTTCGGTTATATTTAACATAGGTTTAATTTAAAATAAAGTAAAACTATAAAACTGTTGGCGTTGAATTATGACTTTTAGTGCGAGTCTTAATGCTGAGGAGAAGAAGCGAGTTTCTGCCTATATGGCTGTAAATTCATTAACTCCTTCGCTACATAACAGTTTTTAATATTAATGTAATTAAACATAAAAATTACTTAAAACTGAGAAAAACGAAAGAAATGCGTTAATTTTGAAGAGAAAGCTTCAAACTTTATTTTCCATTGTCTCGCCTTTCTGCGAAATTTGACACCGATGAGTCATTGTGTTTACAGTTGGATGACCTCGAGAACAGCTGGTGTTGGATTTCCCGGACATTCTCATAGACGTCTCGGGAGGAGAAGGGTTTAAAGTAGGGTGAATACTAGCTGGCCGTATATTTTTAAATATTTTTAAAAAATTACGTTTTTTATTGCGATTTCCGACCCCCGACTTAATTAAACGTATATATAATAAAATATATTAATTAAAAAATTAAAAAACTATTGGAGGTCGTTTTTGACATCAGAAAGTAGCTTTAAATAACTTTACCGAAGTAAAATCCGTGCACTACAACTTTAGAACAGTGAATAAAATTTGATTAAAAAAATCCCATAAAAAACAATTAAGTGCTAAATTATGCGTCATTAAAGGTTCATTAAAATCGCGATAAAATCTTTTCGCGCAGGAAAAAAATTTAAAAAAAAATTTGGAGACAAAAAACATCCGAAAAATAAATGTTTTTTTTTCAGGGGGTCCAAAAAAACCCTTTGTTTGTAACGCTATGGAACGTGCCCGAGTTAACTCGGGATAAGGGCTTAAGGCGGGGGTCGTTACCGAAAAGTTAGCACCGCGTTATAACAACATTTAATAATACAAAAATAAAATAAAAGCAGTTTACAAACGGACTATTCCAAACTTAAATCTATCTTAACTATCCTGTCCCTAGTATGAGAGATATGAGAGTTTACAAATCTAATATATTACCTCATTTATAATGTGATTGATAACAATTCTGCACTTTGGGTGGAAGTTCTTTCCCAAGAAGTACGGCACTAAGTTTACATTACGGAGGACAGGATGATGTGTGAGGATCCCTCTTTTATGCTCTTTTTCTCCTCCAATGGATGCTAAGAATTAAGTTCATCTGACAGAGTATCGCGATGAATCTTTTTGGTTGAGCACGGGAGATAAAGATCTCTCTCGGGAAACATTTGTTCCTTGTTCTCTTTGATTTTTAGCTTTGATAAAAATATCGAAATACTGTATTATATTTAGCTTTTAAATGATTTTCTGTTAATTTTTAAAATAATTTAACTTAAAATATTCAGAATCTCACAATAACACAAAAAGCATTTTTTATAAATTTAAGAAATGTGTAGAAACTGTTTCTGGTTTTTAGTTATTAATTTTTTATTCATTAGCTTTTTGCTTTAAGTTGTGTAAAATTGTCATTTCTATATTTCAAATAAAGGAATTTTTCTCGGGAAAGACAGCCATACTTGTTAGCGGCTTTATACGTAGATGCGCGCAAGAAAGCGTCCTCACCTACGTATTTTTTATACGAAAGTAGTCCGTGCGAAGGCGAAAGTTGCGCGCGAGTCTTGTCGGTCAATCGTTCTCTTATTTACACGTACCCGTCTACTTGCGGAAGTGACCGAGGCCGATTCTCCTTGCCCGACGAAAGAACTTTCACCGCTTTTAGAAATTGGAATAAAGATCATCCTCGCTCGCGGCCTGTCAAAAGTAAGAAAAATATCAACAAAAATATGAAAAACCAGGCTGACAGCGCCTTTATTCTTTCACTGAACAACGGCGCTTTGTTTACGGCTATTTCTATTTTTGCTATTAACTACTACTTATATTTCTGAACGGGGGAAAGCGCGCGAGTAAGAACGTATTGTATTTTTTCACATCACGTTCTTACGGATCACGATTCCACTCCCGTTTCTACACGCGCGCAGGAATTGCCCACTCAATCGTGCGTTTAAGAATGAACGGTAGGTGTAAAGGCCGCTACTGACTTAATTTTCGGCTTCATTATTTTTTAGCGCTAGTCGGCACATCCGTTAGGGCCGGACGAGTGTCCCAGTTTCCCGGCGCCGGGCCCTTAACAAGTTTAGTCTGTAAATAGGCGCAACGTCTATTCGGAAGCACCACTTCCTACAGAGGGCGCTCGGAGTTTCGGCGAAAAGTTGTTTACGTTTGTATTGGCTGTATTCGCTTTACTTTTTCCACTCGGAAACCGTATTACAATTCAATATCCGCTACCATTAATGATGCGCTAGAATATTATACAGTAGAAGAATTAGGCAAAATATATTAAAGCAGACACGAAACGTAATTAGAAAGAAATGCACCCATCGTCGAGTTTAATAATAGGTGACAACTTTAACGAATTCTACACCTAAAAATGTGTCTGTAAGCCTGTTTACATACTGCAACAACAGGAAATTTCTTCCATTTGGTTCCTTAAGTGTTCAGACGCTCGTTGATGTTATCACACACGCAGAAAAGAAGTAATCCATCTAAACATCCCAGATCTACAGAATTGTATTTTTCTTTCGATCAATTGAAATAGAAATATTTGTTAAAGAATTGATAACAGAATTGAATCTGTTCCATGAGTTGATTCTCGCTACTTTATATCTCCTACCCGTAGTAATTTCTGAACCAACAGGATCGAGCACCAAATGATTTGAATAAACAGATTTGCCAGCCCTATGCATTTCCACAATAACAATTCAGAATTCTGAAAGAACAGTAGTTGGGAACAGCGACTCTACCATTTCGTACTAACATTCGAACCACAAATTAACTCTACAAGCAGGGATACAAACTTAAAACTTAGTCCGTAATTTAATAATTTCTTCCATAATAATTCCTGTCAATCGCATCGAATGCTGATGCAAAATCTACAAAAAATGCGTGTACCTTACGCCGATTCCTCCTTAATGCCTTAGATATAATCGTAGGCAAAATGAAGATATTATCAACTGTCAGGAAAACCAGCCCGATTCTCTGACAGAGTAGCCTATCTCTCATATTCAACCATCTTATTAATCTATAATACAAAACTGTACAAAAAATGTTTGAAGTGCAACGCAACAAAGAAATACATCTGTAATTTCTAGGCACCAACTTTCAATTACCCTTATATGCTGGAACCAACAACGAACGAAGAGTTCGTTGTTGGTTCCAGCAATTATTCCAAATTTAAAGAAAAGTTTTACAGACAATTGAATGTGGTCGACTATAGCCCGAAAATTACTCGAACTAAGAACGATGAAAAAATAAATAATATAGATGGCACCCTCTTTTACAAGATTTTATAGGAGGTACTGTACTTAAATGATTGTTTTCTCCTTTACGATGATGATAATATATTTAAAAATATTGTGAATTACGTAAATAACATTGACGATGATTTGAAATTGGAGGTAAAGAAGGAGGAGAGGAAACTTTTATACTTAGTTTTAATAAGTAAGAATGTGTTGGGATCGTTGATGTTGGAAAAATACGTAAAACCGTGCGCGGTGCCAAAGGTGATAAATAATAAATCAGAAGTCCCTAAATGCGTACAAAAAGAGAAACACTGTACGTTTGAGGGATATATTCATAAAATTACTACAACTACAGATACTAAAAACAAGAGGAAAAACTAAAAGATAATTAAGATGTTTTTCCTAAATGGATACAAGAAACGTATACTAAATAAGTGGATGACAAGATTGAAACATAAAAGAAAAAAGAAACAGGATAGCAAAATTGGAGAACCTGACATTCGGAAAAATACTGTAACTTATATACAGAACAAATAAAGAAAATATTTTTTTCAATATAATATAGTATTGATCCAGGACCAAAAATAGAGTAGAACAACTATTATATAAAGCGAGCGCGCCAACAATGCAATAGGGTAAACCAAACGATTTATTTAAAAAGGCAAGCGTTATATGCAGATTTGATTGCGAATGTAAAGAGCCATCCACTTACATGGCATGGACAAATTCGAGTATTGCTAGATATTGCGTGATGAACGGATGTCAAATCAATCTTAATACATTAAGGATAGAAGAATCGGAGAGAATTACGATAAAGAGAAAGTTAGAGTACTTAGAAACAAAAATCTTTTATGATTGAAACTTTATACTGCACATAGTTTAAAGATTTAGATTTCATCAAATTAGAATTTCATATACAGCCAACAAATGCACAAATTCTTTGTTGCGAAGCACGTGGTCTCAAATTATACTATTTTTTGGTTAATATGTGGACCATCATGGCTGCACTTCTGGAACATAACCTAACCTATTAAATTACCAAATTATTGGTAATTTACTAGAGTAGGTTAGGTTAGGTTAAAACGTGCGTCCTCGGGCCCGCAAAAAATAAAAAATTTGCATTTCTAATCGCCAATTCTATCGAGATGCTTCGCGATGTCACGTGATTTAGTGATGTAGACGCCAAGTCACGTGACACGGTTTGTAAGCGTCTGCCTTCAATGCGCTACTTTGCCACGTAATCAGGGTTAAACAATGGTGGCTTCCACCATGCGTAGTCAGTAAGTAATCCAACCGATTTTCGTTTATAACTCTTATTATACGTTTTGCCCCCAAAATTTCTCTGTTTTGAACACATCTACTAGGGAAGTTTCTTAAAAAAGCAAAATTAGGAAAAAAACGCCCCCATGTATTAAATGTAAACTTTTACCGAAATAATTTACCATTCACCACGTTGTAATCACGATACGACACTGGAACACGAGCTGAATACATCGGTATATAAGGCACGAACGTACGATGTGTAGATCCCGACAAAAGACGATCAATTATAGATCAAAAACGACACAATGCACCACTGTCTACACTGGTTACTGTCCGATGAACTTTGTAATTTGTCGATAGAGAAAGCTTATCGACCGACTTGAATTGTTTCGACTTATGACAACCCACTTCGTGTCGTGATATAACGACGCCTATTTACTAGGCTACATTTTCGGTCACCATAACTTTAGTGAATACCAAATTTTGTGGTATTTCAATTTGAGACGAACATTCACTGTAAGTTGCGCTACGACACTTTTCTACATCCGTTAAATTTCTCATACACTTACTTTCCCGGTTATTGTGTAGACATAACGAGGGAAAATATTGAAATTGTGTTAAATTTGGTCCCTTAAGTTTTTTTTGCAAATATGCAGGTTTTGAGATCCCCTAAACCCGAAAAGTAAAAATAACGGCAAAAAATTCTGTGCATGTGTGTTGGCATCTATTTCGTGTAATATCTCAGAAGAGGATGAAGGTTAGGTTACAAAATTTGGCACAGTAGCTTATGTCTGAGGTGCATTGATGCTATTAATTTTGGCTGTGAAACCGCGGGGGATGGAGATACAGTGTAACGTCGCTTAACGAGCAAAGCAAATCGTAAAAATGACTCGCTTAACGAGCAAAGCAAATCGTAAAAATGACTCGCTTAACGAGCGACGTTTCTCGTAACGAGTGACGAAAAGAGGGGACGTCCCGGATTGTCCGCATGCTATATCAGTCTGTGTTTAGCACTCGTTCCGCTAGCATCTTGGTGTCGCTTACACATTTTTCCAAACTTGTGTTCAGACATATTACATATAAACGTCAATAGCCATAGCCCTTTATATAATGAACGTGCCGAACGTTATACCAAATTCATGGGCTATGTGAAGGCTATAATTAAATATTAGAAATTACTGTATTTCGATTATCTTTTGTTTTCTGCAAATCGAATTCGCATTCCAGGTTGTTTCGTTCCGCGCTAGAAGAAAAGATGAAGATGATTGACGCTCCTTAGCAACGTATATTGTATAACTAGCTGTTACCCGCGACTTGGCCAGCGTGGATTTTGCAAGCAAACACCATTTATATTTAGTGTTTCAACAATCATAGTAATTGTTATATCACACCTACCGCCGAGAATGACGAGAATTGCCGCGAATCAAACGAACTGTTTTCAATTTGATCAATTTTCTGGAACGTTTACAATCGTTCTATAATCGAACCGATACGCAATAACAAATTCGAATTTAAAACGGTTCGAACATTTGGTTAAAATATCGAAATAGATAAAAATATTTATAACAATGTCTAAAATGTTATCAATTTAATACACTTAAGTACTCGATGAAGACTAAACGTAGTTGAAAACAAAAAATCGCATTTGGAAAAGTACAGTAGAAGCCGTTCTTCGGGTTAAGCCTTAATTAATCCTCTCTCTCTCCTCCCGCAAGGGAAATTTCGAAAAGTCCCGTCTTAGTGTGGGTTTTCGTGACGTACCCTAACTGTTTACCAAATTTCACTTCTTTAGGTTCAGCGGTTTGCTCTGGGCGATGATGAATCAATCAGTCGGGACAAGTAATTTTATATTTTTAGATTTTCTTTGAATAAAATATTTGTGTATTTTTTCGGCATGGAACGGATTATCGTATTTTACATTAATTTATATGGGAAAAATTGTTTCGCTTTTCGAGTAACATTCTGGAACGAATTATGCTCGTTAAGCGAGGTTCCAACTGTACAGTCACGTGCCTTATCTGTCGTAATTCAGTAATAAAATGCAGAAGGGCATAGCCCGCGGATCCTTCGATTAAAATTACACTATTCCTATATTTAAAAGGAGCGGCAAATAACTATTTTGTTGCTTTTTACATTTTATTGAAATTTTTGTTATGAATCGTGTATATTGGGAACAAATGAACGAAGTACGAGGAGGTTGGACCAGTGTGTTTATCTTGATCCCTTTCCGTTTTGACTCGAATGAACTTTATATCTGTTTTCTAAGATTAGGAGATTTTCACATTTATTTCTTATGTTAATTATAAAAGTTTACTTAGTAATAACTTTTCATTATGTTAGCGAGAATTTGTATAGTTTGAAAGAGAATATGGCCATTCGGACTGTGTTCTGGCAGGACCGTGCCGTGCTATGATACAGAGAGGCGGCATAAGTAGTATTTAAAGGGCGGTATTTCCAAGTATTGCATCATACTGAGAAAATCTACCGCATGGGCCTGGTTTCTGGAATTATCGCTGGAATTATTTTAACCAAAATTCGGTACCGAAAAGTTTTAACTAAAGCGCGTATTTAATTCTTACTAAAATATTAAGTAAGTTTTCATAAAATTTTAATTGGACGTAATTTATTACAGGTAACAATATTATTATATCTGGTATCTGAAATTCTTCTCGCTTCGCTCATCGGTATGGTCTATCGTGGAAGCGGAAATAGTTCAGACAAGGCACCCGCCAATTTAGGTTTTCTAGCATTGACTATTATCATTGTTACGTTTGCTGCAATATTACCTACATTGCTAAACTGTAAGTGATGTTTCTGTTATTAATTAATGTGTAATTTAGTTATTAACACGAGGATGTGTAGATTAGTTAATTATTATATTCGTTTGTGAACGTTTGTTTTAACAATTACGTAGATATAGAGCCCCTAGATTACTATTAGCATAGTGCTAAAGTTTGTGTCTGTACTGCGAGGCCCACCACTTCCCCTCCAAAAATTGTTGTTATTGTATCTATCTATATATAGTGTGTGTATTTGTGAATTGTTATTTTTACATTATCTGAATAATTTTAGCTTTAATCACTTTATTTTAATGTTTTTGCTAATAATGTATCCGCTTTAATTAATCAGTTAGAAATTTTATTTTATTTTAAACTCTGTGTATTTTATATCTTTTTCTGCTCTGTCTGGTTGTGTAAAGAACAGTTAGCTATCAGACAGGATGCCCTTTGGAACCAGATCACGAAGTTACGCATGTAAACGTGACACCGAGATTCTTTATCTATCAACCAACGTTTTAAAGGAACTTCGCCTATTTTTCCGATTTTACGGACCCCCTTTCTAAATTTTCAGTAATATCGATTTAAAATAATTTAGAGAAACAAATTAGAAGAAAAGATTTATCAATTAATTAACATGAGAAGGAAAAGATGAGGGGGGATGCCCGTCGTTTCACCCTTTTTCGATGGTGTTATATGACCGATGATACGCTATCTATGTCGCATGGACGCACATCATTCTTCATTGACAAGAGAAGAGGAGGACAACTAGATGACTAATTATACATTTTACAAATTACTTCACTTTCCTCCAGAACAAGCATGATTGGTCAAAAGCAAAGAATAAAATAAAAATGTGACGAAAATTAACAGAGTGAGACAGGATTAAGAGACTGGCCGGACAGGGATTGACCGGACGAGAGACAACCGACCTAGTGAAGGACCAAGTGAAGGAGAAAGAAGAGAAAAAGGAAGAAAAGAACAGGGAGAGAAAGTGAAGAAAGAAGAGAAGACCTTATCCTGGTATGTTGTGAGTCGCTCAGTTTGGACCCCCCCCGTTAGGTACCCCCTTGTTTTATGGATAGAAATAGCCAAAATCGGATTTTATAACTTTGTTGAGAACTTTGTTTTTCGATAATAAGCTCTTATTATTTGTACTTGACTCCGCATTAATCCTCCTGATAAGCTTATTTCTGGACTTCGGAGTGACTCTTACCTCGCGCCTTTATTTGTTTTTTTGTCTAAATCGGCGGTGTGTCCGACAAAACACACCTGGGTGCAGGACCCTACCCCAAACTTACGTAATCAAATTTTTGACGGCCTGGACCCACGCAGTACTTGTGAAGGTTCCAGTTTCGAATGCGAGACAAATTTTTGAGTGGTTTAATTCGGATATTTGGGACAAGTATCGGGCCTGTAGTCTTATTTCTCACCACCCCTTGTGGACTTGACGAACTCACGATCTTTTTCCTTCCCGAAAGGATTTTTTTCGTATCCGTAGAGCAGAAAAGTTTCAGATAGCAAATTAGAAAATGCATTGTAAGTCTTTGTTAATCAGTTAGTCGGTTTTAGACGTTCATTGCAACATATGTTATAATTTTTAATGCTTTAATTAATCGTTAATTCGGTTTCTATGATTACGGACAATGTCATTCAGTTTGTTTTCGAATACTCGATACTACGTACAATACGAGGTAAATTGGCAGTACCGTGTTTATTTCTCATTCGGTCTGTTCGAAAATGTTTACAGGTTGAAATACTGAAACCAGGTGTCATTCATAAACGTTGCCTGTAAATTTTCTGGTGATCAACCGGCTGCTACTAGCCCTCGCCGATCTTCGAGGGCGTGCTAGATAGTGACCGAGAAAATACTAATGTCGTCATTATCGCTACCAACCGAACCACCAGTATGCATTTCCTAACAGACCCGTTGTTTCCAACGAATATCATTCGTTACTTGTCCCGTGGTTGAGAACTCGGTTCTCGGAAACTCATTCCTTTCTTGCAGGTTTTCGATTCTTAAAGGCATTGGAACAGAAACTATTATTAACAAACACTTTGTTTCCATATGTTCCTTGTCACTTACTCTTCGTTTCTTGTTATCGAAGTAGGGGCTTGAGGCAACCGTTAAATCTGGAGATTTTATTTATTTGTTCAAAATGAAACCTTAATCTGCTTTATTAGAATTAAATTACGTTCTTGGTATCTAAAAAATCTTTTCTGTTACGCATTACACATGTTTCTAGTTACGGGACGATGCACGCATGCCACGCCGAAGATTAAAAGCGGGAACCTCGAAGTTTCCGCTTCTTGTCATTCCGCAAAAGTCGAATTCGCTGTACTTTCGAGGCATGGGCGATAGCAGCACCTTTTCTATAGCCGATCGGAGATGACTTCGATTGTTACGTTTTCGTCACGTGATATATGAATCACGTATTTGTTTTTGATCGTAAAGTTCGAATACAACTTTCGATACAGAAAACTTTTTTGGTATTGCAGGAAAATCTTGGTTTTTATATAATTATCCCTATTTATACAAGGATTTAAAATTATAATCGTATGATGCAGATGAATGTAGGCATATGATAATATAATATATCCGTATTTTCACATAGAATTTTAATTTTTCTTATAAGAAAATAATTCTCGTTTCACGCAACAACGTCGAAATCTCGATAAGGAAAGCAAACTGTGAAGATGCAAGCGCATCTTCCTCCTTCTCCATCTCGAGTGCCGAACGCGTGCGCAACAAACATCACCTTCCGCTCGTGGCTCGTGCGGCAAAGACGTGTCGTCTAGGGTGATATTCGGTGTAGAAAATGTCTGCATTTGAAAAATTTTTCGTTTAGGCAAGTTGCGCTTTAGAGAGACACGTGCGGCGCAGAACAGACAAAGCACGTTTCAAAACGCGTCTTTGCCGCACGAGCCACAAGCGGAAGGCGTTCGGCACTCGAGATGTAGAACGAGGAAGATGCGTTTTCATCTTCACAGTTTGCTTTATTTATCGAGATTTCGGCGTTGTTGCGTGGAACGAGAATTATTTTCTTGTATTATGAATTCAAATTTACGGTTAGAAACGTCTATTTAGTCACATCAATTTATTCTATTCGAGTCGTTCTGGAAAACAGAAATATGCAGAGTTATTTGCATATAATAATACGTGAATATAATTGATAATAAAAAAAGAAAACACATTTTAAAAGTTTTGGAAAATCTTTACATAAAGAATATGGAAAAGATAAATACTGTATATAAGAATTGTAACTTCGGAATACGTAAATCAATCAAATGTGCAGTGTACGGTTAATATCGGTGGTTTCAATTTTTCTCCCGTTTTAAAAATCTAACTATCGAGTTCGTCCCTTTATTACAGTATTTTCTTCGGGTCCTGTAAATATTTTTACAGCGATTTTAAAATATAAGTCGTATATTTATAAATGTTTGATCTTTTAAACATAAAATTTAATTAAGGTGAAGGCACTTTTTTAATTGTGGTTTAGGCCTTTTTCCAATCAGAGAGCGCTGAAAGGTCATACGAGGTAAATGCACTAAAAACCGACATATTAAGAAAAGGGTGCGCTATCTGACTGTCGTGGCTGTTGGCGTGAATTATTTTGCTTTCTTTTGGAAAAATGTCAGAGTTTCCGACTCGGGAAAGGAAAATTTCTCGCCACTATCTCGTGACGGATCACCACTAAATGTAAGAAAACGAATCGGAAGCGAAGAAAATTTCTCGGGTGAGTCGACGGAGCAGTTGATCTTCTCTTATAAACGTGCCGGAAAGGAGATTAAGACTCAAGAAGGAATTTGACTTTCCATGGAACTACAAGCTCCTTCAAATAGTAAATTAGAAATGAAGAATAGATACAGCATTGGTAGATGTGGAGTTTAGACTATCCGTCTTTGAAACTGGCTACGCTAAAAGTGACAAATCAATATCTGTAATAACTAGCGTGAAAAGTTAATGAAATTAGAAGGTAAAGAAAGAAGGATAATATTGTTATGTGAAGCATACAGGATGACGATAAATCAGACAATTGTTCAATTACGATTCAAAACCTTTTCGACCATAAATTAAAGGTTACAGACATCAATATAAAACGAGTTTTTACAATTGAAAAATGCGAATCTAATATAAAAAGATTGATTATTTTTGAAGATAAATTAAAAGTTTAGAAAAATGTTAGTAATTGAAAAGGCCTGAATATATTTATTAATGATGACTATTGGACGAGTAGCGAAGCTGTCAGAAACAAACTAGGACTCTATGAAAAAGAAATGCATTTAAAAGCACGTTCACATTTTAGAGATGAAAACTTCGGCCTTAACCTCGCTATTCACTTATTTGTAACTTGGAAAATCCATCATCGACATTCGAAACATTTATTCTAAGATGCTTTGAAAAGTTTTGCTCTATTGGAATGCGACCGACATTCGATTTGTTTTTTTCTCGGGGAAAGTGGGAAAAATATGGATGCGTATCGGTCGAAGGGTTTAGAAGCGTAGTGTACATAGGACAGACAGATTGACGGCTGTTCAATTATACGTATATAAATAATAATTTTCAACAATTACAACTCACATTAACAGTAACTCATACCCAAACCTCGTCTGGCACTCGATTTACTAGGGTAATCACACGCATGAAGTTTTCGGTCTTATTTAGAGGCCTTCGTCCAGAAGTAAGGTCGACGTATACGAAATAAATTAGAAGCAAAAAGTGTTTTACGGTAACGTTCTGTCGGCAGTGACGTAAATTTAAAAAAATCATAATTGGCGACTTTGTGACGTAGTCGGGAGAAAAACCAGGACCAAATTTAACAATACTTTGTGTTATTTTTTTCTATTCTCTTTTGAGGTAGAGCATTATTTAAAATATGGTTGTATTTTGTGCCGTTTTTTCTGTATTTAATTTGCGTCATTTCTTTACAATAACTATTCTAATTTAGTATTGAAGTGTCTTCGATTTAATCGGAAAATGTTCTTACTTATTCTTTTTCAGTTCCGTCGGAGAAAATTGGAGTACTAAGAGAATATCATAATGGATGGTATAGCGTAACGTCGTATTTTCTAGCCAAATCTATTGCCGAACTACCAATTAATGTAAGTTCTTTTCTAATCAATCGTCTGTTTGTACACGAAAATTATATCGATATATTGAAATGGAATTTAAAAAATTTGGCTAAAATAACGAACATTATTGGAATGGACGAGTCGAATCAGATAAATTCAGAAAGAGATGGTGGAAATCCCTTTTCTGAGCTAATAAGACGTGCAATTTCATTCTGGCATAAAGCTGCGTATTATTCCAGGAATATTAAGATTACAATACGTCTTTATTCATGCGGGCTCGCCTTCGTTTCTGGGGAGGGGTAAAAAAGCTGTTCGAAGACAATTTTGTGAATTCCCTGCCATTGATCGGTCGTTCTCTTCACTCTGGCAATACGCCACGTAAAAATGGTCTATTAACCGAGTAGCATTAAATTGAGAATTCGGAAGGTGGCAACCCGACCAATGACGTTGGCAATCGAGTATCGTGTCTACTTTCAATATTAAGTTTCCAATGTCGCATTTCACTTGGCGTATTGTTCGATTTCGGATTCGAACTGAATTTAGCAGATGGTTTGTTTATCTGTCACACGTGGACGGTATGTAGGGTTACTTTTTGTCGTGGCTTTACTGTAATTTGTAGATTATCTATCTAGACTCTCCGAAGCAATTGCTTACTTCTGACTTTTGCTTTTTGGAAGCCATGTTATTTTTATATTTTCTGCTACTAGGTATTTTCCTAACAATTGAAAAATAATATAGTATTTTAATTAAGCTGTTATGTTGTTTTGTTTAAAATATTTAAGGCTTCCAAAATGAATTGTGACGAACATTTACCTTTGGGTAAATGTTCGTCACAAAGGTATTGCCAGACTTTTTTCTAGCACATCCTCAACTATGACGCTGCCTGCTGCAATTATGGAGTCATCGTGAACGTCACAGTTCATTTTTTGTCTTCGAGAGTTTGTTTATAACTGTGATCACCTAGTTGATTTGGGTGTCTTCGTTTGGAGTTTCGCAATGTGGTAACTATAAGCAATATCGATACGTTGCGGCGTGTAACCGCTACTAATTTATCCATAGAGAAATTGAGGAACCTAACGAGCAAATTTGGGCTTTCTTGTTGGATCACAGGTAGACGTCGTCTCACCGTATGCGAATAAGACGGTTTTATATATGAAAAACAACGGTTCCTATAATAACCTTCCATTTTTTATGCGAAAATAACAGGATATCCGTTTTAAACGTACTTTGTCATACGATTTCTCATTGGTTAGTTTTAACTACTACTAACGTCGTTAAGAATACAAGCGAGTTTGTTTAATGAACAGTTAGCATTAACGATTACGGTAACGGTACTATATTCTTCTTTCCCTAACTATTGTGCACCCCTATGGACAATACGATGAACAACAAGAAAGCAAACATAGCCGAAGATACATCAACCATTATGGTACACGTTCAGTACCGTAGGCGTAACGGCAAGTGCACTGTGCTTTTGTGGTAAAAATGTGAAAACGATAAGAAATAGCGTGCAAAGAAAGCGGTGTCATTTTCCTCTCAACAGTGGGTCGACATCCGGCCAATAGGCGACAGTAGATGCACCGGATATTGTATGATCGGATCAGATCAGAAGACCAAAAACGCTGGAACGCAATCAATACAAGTATTTCAAAACGGAATTTTGTGGACTTGAAAAAGTTGTGAATATTACAATATTATAATATTGCAGTATTACAATTTTCCTTCAATTAATGCTTGGTAAGAAAAACTGTTATTAAAACAAACGTTTTTAATTTATCATCATAGTGGCCTATAATAATAAATTACAGATTTAGAAATTTGGATACATCAATTCTATATTTGAGCAGGTACTGTACTTGGCATAGGCCTATATAGTGCTATTCCTTTACAAGTATCCAAACTTTTCCATACGGAACGGCGGAGTTCTACAATTTGGCATGTTGAAGACCATTAGCGCGTAACAGCTATGGAATATATTTTTTTAATTTGTAAACTCGTAACATCATGGGTTGTACTGACTCCACTGTTAACGGACCGACGAGAATGTTCGGCACCTACTGTACAGTACCTTTTTAGCAAATTCGTTGCTAATCAAAACGAAAGACTGGGCTGTTTCCTAATACTTTCTATAGTTTTTTGAAAATTACCAGATATGCAGGTGGCAAATAGTGCGCTTTAGTGCGCTTTGATCAGGGATTTAGTGCTTGGTATATTTTCATAGAAAGTTTTCGAATACTGGATAAGTTACATTGCTAAGCGCAGTCTCTGAAATCATTATACATGCAGCCAGTTGACACGTAAAGTTCATTTTTCGTTATTCTTTGCAGAATTTAACGATGCAAAAATAACACTATCCCTTCGTTTCATTCTTTTTTCTTTCCCCGTTGGAAGTGTTTTACGTGTTTACGTTCTCGAACTTGGTTGCATAAATAGCTAATATTTATCCCACGATTTACCAGTTGAAAATGAATCGCGTAATGTAATAGTGTAAATTGTAATAATCAGTTTATGGAAACTTTGGCTCAATCGGTAATTAATTGTCTAACTACCCTGCGAGCATATATTACGTGCCAGTATCACGGTCTCGCTGGTTAGCTTTGAAGGCGTTTATATGAGTTTTGCTTATTATCCAAATTACAAAGATTTAAGCATGCAAAGCTACGCTCGGAGCCGTAATTAACAACAATTAGTTCATTATAATTAATATAATTCAATGTAATTAATAATTAATTGTTATTAATGTAATTAATTTATTTAAAGAAAAACATCTGAGATGTAAATAAATTTTGAGAAGTAAACATTTATGACAATTTAGGCGACAGTCAAAATTATTCCTTAGCAGTTTTTCTTTGGTAAAGATGAGCTTGGCGCTTGGAGACAAAATGTAGAAAACAATAATCTCGTGTGTATCGCTTGCAAGCGCCAAGCTTATCTTTACCAAAGAAAAACTGCTAAGGAAAATTCTGGCCATCATCTAAATTGTCATAAACTTTTTAAAATCTCAATTGTTTTTATTTAATAATTGTATAATTACGTCGAGACATAAGATCGGTCGGCGCTCGGTTTAACATTTCTAGATCTGGTCACATTACATATTGAGAGTTAATTGATAAATTTATTCGTTCACATATATAGTTTTCTAAATAAAATTGATATATAAGACATAAAGCTTTCTCAATGATCAGTACTGTTGTCTAAACGATGACAATTAAATAATTCTGTCACATTTCTCCACAATTCTTTTTCATGCAGAACATAAAAACATGCAAGAATTATAGAACAGGTTATATACAACGAAAAAATAACAATTTACTGTTTTTACAGTTTATATTCCCGTCCATTTTTGTATCGCTCGTTTACTGGTTAACCGGACAATCTCTGGAAGCTTGGAGATTCTTCTATTTTGTCGCATTTGCCGTTGGTCTAGCTCTTAACGCTCAGTCCATACCCATCATATTTGGTTCTCTGTTCTCCGATAAGGTAAGTTAATATAATATTATTACTTTTATTTTCTATCTTTCTATTCTTTCGTTATACTGAAATAGCAGTAACAGGCAAACACCGATTTAGGCTGAGTCTAATTTTGTTTTTTTAAAATTGTTATTTCTAAGAATTTATATTTGGAAACAATTCTGTCCTATCGCAGTTGAATCAGTTAACGTCGATAATCAATTAGTAGGTCTCCGATTTAACGGAATTACTGAGAAAGGGATTTCCTTAAATCGAATGCATTTGAAGAAGCATACTACCGCGATCAAAAAGTATGCGGAACGGTCTATTTTCACTGCGTGCGTGAGAGACAGCAATCTGGTTCTTTACGTTATTTGGTACGACTTTCGTCGACATTAGCGGAAATCCGTACGTCGTGGTCAATTTTCGTCGGCGAATAAACTTGCTTTGTGCCTAAATAATTTTTGCGCCGGAGATTTTTCCAGGGCTGTGGAGTCGGAGTTGGAGTCGTGGAGTTTTGGTGTTTTAGCCGGAGTTGGAGTCGGATGGTAAGGAAGAGTCGGAGTTGGAGTCGTGGAGTTTTGGTGTTTTAGCCGGAGTCGGAGTCGGAGCCGTCAAAAAATCCTCCGACTCCGACTCCCTTTTACTTACCAATTTGTTATGTATATGAAACGGAGTCGGATGGTAAGGAAAAGTCGGAGTCGGAGTTGGAGTCGGTAGATTTTTACGCGACTCCACAGCCCTGGATTTTTCAGAATGTCGAGTAAAGAACGCCATCAAATTTTGTTTCGGCCACGGAATTACAGCTACAAAAACGTTGCGAAAGTTGCAAAAGGCCTTTGGTGATGATCGTCTGTCGGAAACGAGAGTTTTCCAGTGGTAGAAGATGTTGGAGGAAGGCAGAGAAGAAGAGCCACGCTGTGGTAGACCATCCATTTCGCCGACGACGAGATTCGAGATTTGGTGCTGGACGATCGCCGATTAACAATCGGGGACGTTATCGAACGTGTTGCCGAATCGTTTGAATCTTGTCGAGCAATTTTCAAAGACGGTTTGGACTAGCGACGCGTCGCGAAAATGTTGAAAAACCACGTGCTCGAGTGGTCGACCATCCAGCGCATCGTTACGGGTTTATGCTTTTGGCACCGAAACGGCTCGTCCATTCAGTGAACGGCGCTGGAAAGGTGAAGTCCGTCGAGAATCAGGTCCCGGCGATTGTTTTCTTCCGTCGTCGTGGTGTTGCGCATCGCCAACTTTTTCCATTGGTCGAGAAAAATTATGATTTGAGAGTTCTGTATTGGTTGCCCGAAGCAAGTCTTAGGAATCCATCCAATTAATGGCCAGAAAACAAGTGAAACTTCTACAGCGATTATGCACTTTCTCTCCATATGCTTGTCGTCGGCGAATTCTTGGCCAAAAATTCGACAAATGCGGATTAGCCACTCTCTTGCAAATGGTTGCGTGGATAAACGAAGCACGAAAATATTAATGATAATAGTTTGCAATTTTTCCAAGTTTTGGATAGAAAGGATGGAAAGTAATATGAAATAACGATGAAAATACAGTAGTACCTCAGGATACGAACGCTCCAGCATACGAAATTTTCAGGATACGACACGAAATTCGAACATATTTTTGCTCCTCGGTACGAACAAAAACTCACCATACTACGTTACATTAGTTCGCAGCAGCATTTTTTATTCACTTCTGTTCATCGGTCTCAGTCCGCGTGTTTGCTTCGTCCTGGAAGGATTTCGCTCGATAAAGGAAATCTCAAGATATTATCAGAAAGTGACTGATTTTATTGAAAATAAACATCCCGAAAAGGTTCACACTGGCCGTATTGCTGCTCAGTTTAATGACATTTGCCTAAGTCATTTTAGAAACATTTTAAAAAGTAGGCAAAGCCAAACCTGTTTGGATAGATATTTTACCAAGCGACCTCTATCCAGTGAAAGTGTTGGTGGAAGTGAAGGAAAGAAAGCAAAAAGCAATGAATAAAAAATTATAAAAAAACATATATATATATATATATAACAGAAAAGATGAAAAATTAGTGTTAAGTTATTTTTAAGTTATTGTTACATTATGTTATGTAAGTTAAGTTTTAGTATCATTTCCCTTCTCCCTCTCCTCCGCCACCAGTTTACACCTTTACCTCGTCTATCCTCGAAGGTAAAGTGCAAATAAAACTATATTTTTTAAAATCAATTATTATTCTGTTGTGGTACAGTGTTTTCCTTACTAAAGTTATTTTTTTCAATGTACTGCTTAGCTTTAATTTGAGTGTTTTTTCGTGTTGGAACGGATTATTTGGTTTTATGTGTAATCGTATGGGGAAAAATGATTCACCTTACGATATTTGCATGATACGATCTCAGTTTCGGAACGGATTAATTTCGTATCCTGAGGTACTACTGTAATAATTAATAAATGAACGTTTCCTTTTAATACTAAACTAGGACGATGATACGATCCTGAATTCTGTCCGTACGATTCGATACCGATAATTTTTCGGTATTGATCGGATCCCATAGTCTGTAAATGTTGGTAATAAATGAAAGCCGGAAAGCTCGCTGCTGATGAAAATGTTTACAGTATTTAAATTCGCTGACCATTTAAATTCAAATATAAAAAAACAAATTTACAAATCGATTCATGTAAATATGTGAGTCAACGGAATTCAGTGAAGTGTTTTTGGGACTTAACCAGTTTTTGAAGACTTCTAGGCTTTCCAGTCAATCTTTATTAAATTGCTTGGAACATATTTAATAAAGTTTGAGTAGAAATCCTAAAAACTAGTTAAGTCGCGGAAGCAGTTCATTGAATTCTATTATATTTAACTAATAATACAGGTAATCCCAAAGAAATAAAATCGATTTATGATTCCCTTAAGGTCGGGCCCTACGCAGTTTTACAGTGGGAAAGATTACACTAGGACAATACTAACTGTGCCTATTTTAGGGGAGATAGTTTACAGTAATTTTGCTAGACCAGGGGTCGGAATTAGTGGCTCGCGAGCCGCATCGTCTCTTTGCATGGACGTTTGCGGCTCTTCGAACATAAACTCCAATTTCACCTCACCTCATTTCATTGCAGCCCTATAACTTATGAATTTATGAGATAGAGCCGCCGAACAAACTTCGACTCGTACGGCATACTCTCTACCACTCTTTAGCCCGTCAGCACATGACCACACTAGCGTTGATCAATATGAGTCGCGTGCGAGTGGCAGCATTAGAAGCATATCTATCTATCTATATAACCCATATAACCCATTGAACGCGTGTCCGTCCGTTCGCGTAACGATATGCAAAAAATGGGCACCAGAGGCGCCCTAGCGATGATTTTAAATTAACAATAAATTATTTTTATTTGTAATAGGAATTTGTTATTGATATGAATTTATTATTTATACTACGGAATGGTATAAATAATTATTATATGCCTCGATTAACCTTGCGCTACACGTTTACAACATCCCGTGTCTCAGTGAACGTCGCGCATTGACTCACGGGAAATTTGTTGAAAAATGGCTGATACATTTAAAATCGAAATTTACGAGCGAAGGTAAATAAACAAATTAAACTATTTTAAAGTATTTATAGAATGTTAATAGATAGAAATATACATCCGTATGACGCGGTTGGGACTTTAACAGAGCTATAGAACATATTGATAGGAACGAAAAAGTCAAAGGAACCGTCCCTCGTGGGAATTTGTAAAGAACGCCCACCAGGGGGCGTTCCGGGCTACTAGTATATATGTTATGGACAAAGTGATTAATACGGGCATTAAGAATAATGATCAACAAAATCGGGCATTGTAATAAATTTAGTACCGAATTTTAAATTTATGTAACCAGTAGTTAATCTTTCTACTTTGATAAAAGTAACGATCATGGAGGAATCATTAAGTGATGTGAATAATTGCTTCAACAACCGATTAAACGAGTTAATAGCAGAAAAAGGTGAGAACAATCAAATTTTTACGAAATCAGCATATTTGTCAATGATACAAAAAATGAAAGTCAAAAATGAAAGTTTCTTCTAAGTCACCGGAAGAATATCAACGGTTACGTAGATATGACGTTGTATCTATCGGAAATTTAGAAAAATTAATTATGCCTGTAAAAGAAGGTAATGCGATTAAATATTACGTTCACATGGAAGAAATATTTCAGATATTGCACGATTCCCATATTGCTATCGGACATGGCGGTAGAAACCATATGGAAAAAGAATTATGTACGAAATATAAAAATATTACAAGCGAGATGATCGTAATTTATTTGAACTTGTGTGAAATCTGTCAGAAAAAATGTTCCTAAGAAAGGCTTGCAAGTGTGTGGGCTAAATTTGGAGAATCCGTGCTTCTCGCATGGACAACTGTATGTGGCCATCTCACTCGTCCGAAAGCCTTCTGATTTATTCGCGTACGCGCCAGACTGAAAAACAAAAAAATATCGTGTATCCACAAGCACTACAATGAATAAATAGAATTGAAACGGCACTTTGAAATGTTTTCCCGATGAAAATGAATAATAATAATAATAAGTTTCAATAAAAATGATAAAATGTAAATTGAATTTTATCATAACGAGTTTGCTTGAATTTCTTTTCTTTTGAGATCGCAGCAATGGATAAGTTAGTATTAAATAAATGAAAAAATAAATGAATACAATAAATAAATAACAGTAAATAAAATAAACTAAATAGCATAAATAAATAACACAATAACAAGAGTAAGTATAACAACTACAAGCTTTAAGGGTTTTTAATCCCCCATGCTTTTTTCTATCATGTACCGTACGTGTATGATGTTGGAAGCGTATTAGCATTCTTGGCATTTAGGCGACGGTTTTCCATTTTACTTATATATATTTCCATTTTCTCCATTTCTAATGTAATGGATGAAGATATGACCGTTTTAATGATTTTTCCCTCATCTCATTTTACATCCGCTCCTGTCTGCGCCATGACTGATAAGATGGTGTTGTGCCTTTATTAATAATTTACGTTGTATTTGTG